ATGGAAACATTCATGAACCGCAGCTAGAGGCATTCAAGTACATCACACAGGGATATTCTGGTCTGTATGATACAAAATTTGATGTATGTCGAAGAGGTTTGTGAAATATGATAAAGCGTAAAATTCGACAAAGGAGGTTTTGAGCATCTTTCTAAATGATAAGATCGTCCCTCCAACTTTCCCAGCATTCTTAATCCTGGGACATTCCTTTAGCTTTCACGGTCTTCCCAGTCCTGAAACACCCCACCATATTAGACAGACTTCACAACCCTGAAACACCCCTCCATATTAGACAGACCACCCAGTCCTGAAACACCCCTCCATATTAGACAGACCACCAAGTCCTGAAACACCCCTCTACATTAGACAGACTTCCCAGTCCTGAAACACCCCTCCATATTAGACAGACCACCCAGTCCTGAAACACCCCTCTATATTAGACACACTTCCCAGTCCTGAAACACCCCTCTATATTAGACAGACTTCCCAGTCCTGAAACACCCCTCCATATTAGACACACTTCCCAGTCCTGAAACACCCCTCCATATTAGACAGACCACCCAGTCCTGAAACACTTCTCCATATTAGACAGACCACCCAGTCCTGAAACACCCCTCCATATTAGACAGACTTCCCAGTCCTGAAACATCCCTTCATATTAGACAGACTTCCCAGTCCTGAAACACCCCTCCATATTAGACAGACTTCCCAGTCCTGAAACACCCCTTCATATTAGACAGACCACCCAGTCCTGAAACACTTCTCCATATTAGACAGACTTCCCAGTCCTGAAACACCCCTCCATATTAGACAGACCACCCAGTCCTGAAACACCCCTCCATATTAGACAGACTTCCCAGTCGTGAAACACCGCTCCATGACTTCACAACCCTGAAGGTTCTCTCTAGCTTTGGCAGAATACCCAATCCCGGAACATCTCTCCAGCTTTGGCAGTCTTATCCATTTTGGACATTCCTCTATGTATGTCCTTGGACATCTCTCCAGATTTGACAGTAGTCATCGTGGAACTATCTTTTACAACAGCCATCTAGCATTGGCAACTAACCACGTTGACATCATTGTGGATGACACCGTGGTGCCATGGACAAAGGACTGTAGCAGGTCAACCAAAGATGTTTGGTACCGACATCAGTTAGCTGTCTAGCTGGGTGGATCCAATGGGCAGACTCGCAGCTATTGTGGCCATGTATTTTCTCGCCCTCTCCTCTGGTCCCCGTCGCTCTTCTCCTCCTCTTCTCCCTACAGACGCCCCCCTCTTCTTCCCCGGCGCTCTATCCTTTTCTCACTCAACGTCTTCCTGCCGCGGACATGTTTTAACACAGGACTGTAATATCAGAGAGAGATATTTTCAAGCAGGTGTCCCGTCTCAGTATAACGGGGACATTTACATGTACGATTACACTCAACCTTGGTGTGCCTTGCAATACAGACTTCACAGAGAGTTGTGTTCCTAGCTGTTGACTTCGACAGATAGGGTACATCGGGCTCCACACGCCGTGGACGCTGTAGGGAGTGCGATTTGGGGAGTTTGGAATAGTGTTGAGGTTATTGCCCCGACTAAAGTCTAAACACACGTCAACTCGACAAGATATTTACAGCTGAGATATTGGCAGTAGGATTTACAAGGAGTGTGGACTGTCTATATATAACACATAATGGTATACGTGCGTACCTGCCTTGATTACAGGTGTCACCAGGTGGGCCACAACATCGCCCAGATGTTGGACGTTGCGAACACATGTGCCCAGATGTCTTTGCCGTTATCGTATCTAAACATGTAGTTTGTTTATTACAGAATAACATAACTCTCTTGACCCATAACCTGTAGCTCATTATACGGTAACGATCTGCATGAACATCAACACCTCGATGAACCGCTCAATTCCATACTGTCGCGATCCGGATATACGAGCGTCTAGATGATCGTCATTTATAGTCCGTTTGGCTCAAAAGCAGACCGATGAATTGCAATGTAACTCGAAAACTAATAAACATATAATACTCAATGAAACGCTAATCATAATCAAAATATCAGACCACCTCTGATAGATTTTTGCAAAATTTATGTCCTAAAAATAAAAAAAGTTGTTGAACAAACTATCATTAAAATGTTGACACAGTTCACTATTTGTTACGAGGGAGGAGTGCAAAGAGACGAACAGCCAGGTGTGCAACAAATGCGATCAGAGTTGTTCTGATGTTTTGATTATGATCAGCCTTTCATTGAGTATTATATGTTTATTAGTTTTCGAGTTAGATTGCAATTCATCGGTCTGCTTTTGAGCCAAACGGACTATAGAATTGCCACGGTTATAACTGGTCCGGCTTAACGATGCAGAGTCAATAAAGCTTACATTCCGAACGTGATATTAAAATACTCCACGAAAATATGATAACAGATTTTTTGCAAAGTTCAGCAAAAATGTCCAAAAACGTGCGTAATAGAGTTCGTTAATATGAACACACCCTTCTTTAGAACAATATCGGAATTGAAATATTGAACATCCTTACTTTTAATAGACTATCTGGTATTTTCATATAAGGAACAAGAGAAGATATGTGTGCATTGTCGGCGGGGCTGCTCTTTAGACACGACCGTCACTGGATCCTGACGTGGGGCAGACATGCGCAGTGAGCAGGGTGTGATCACACACGCAGGCAGACAATGCTATAGCTTCCACGTTATTTCCCTCTCACCCTCAGCCATGACATATAATTCCCCACAAAGATGTTTTTTGATGAGATTACAGCGATAAGGAAGCCGATCTACTCTCAGACGAAACACGAGCCTCTGCCTGCGGAGATCGCGGGGCAACTGCTTGGCCGTGCACGTTCCTCTTTAACAAGATCCCGACCTGGCTAAACTGTCTCGCAGACGGCAGCAAGGAAGTGGCGAGCGTTACGCACGTGCGTGCGACCACATCATCCGTGACCATGACTCTCGGAATGTTGACGGTGTCTAATTGGCTGTCGTGGGTTTTGATGAGGTTTGAGAGCGGATGATGTTGTCAGTGACAACAGAGACAGCTTGAACACATGCCCCGTATCTCTACAGTTATGACACCGCGTTCCAAGGCATTTATTTGTAAGCTGAAAAGGGCACTTGTATAGTTGACATGATTTTCACACTTTTAACACTGCACGTGACCTCTTTATGGTAGAAAAAACGCAAACGAATTTCACTCATTTTAGGAGGGTAAGCATGAGAGTGATTTGGGTTTCCTGCCCAAAACAATATTCCAATAAGAACAGAACGTCACGCATTGTACACATTTAAGGAATCGAAGCCTGGTAATCCGCTGGACGAGAAACACTGTTTCAACAATAGTCTAACCCAGGAGTGTGAAGTACACGAGGAGAATGAATGCATTGGGTTTTTTTTCAGGGAAATGTTGGCTTCGTGTATCCAGATACATTGATGTCATGGAAAGACACACAAATTGGCTTCGTGTATACAGATACGTTGATGTCATGGAAAGAAACGTATTGGCTTCGTGTATACAGATACATTGATGTCATGGAAAGACACGTATTGGCTTCGTGTATACAGATACATTGATGTCATGGCGAGACACAGATTGGCTTCGTGTATACAGATACATTGATGTCATGGAAAGACACGTATTGGGTTCGTGTATACAGATACATTGATGTCATGGAAAGACAGATTGGCTTCGTGTATACAGTTACACTGATGTCATGGAAAGACAGATTGGCTTCGTGTATACAGTTACACTGATGTCATGGAAAGACGGATTGGCTTCGTGTATACAGATACACTGATGTCATGGAAAGACATAGATTGGCTTCGTGTATACAGACTGACTCCCGGAAGTTAAACAGACTGTCGTTCGGTAGGCTATATGTTCCCTTCCTCTACTTCCATCTAAAACATTATTAAAACATTCAAACTAAAAAGTGACTCTATTAATTTCGCCGAATGTATGAAATATTGATACCCAATCCGTTGTTTATTATCAATAACGAGCCTGCATAACCCCACGCCACTGCGTCGTCTCCCTGGGCGGTCTGCCGAGCTCGTCAACTTATTATTTAATAACCCGATATGGAATACATGATGTAAAGGTCGGCTCTAATTGCCCGGATGCAGTATAAAGTGACGGTATCTCTGCTGAAGTCCACAGAGAAACATGGCAACATTCAACACATCTCTAAATTTTACAACTCGTCATCTCGGTAGTGCTATCTCCGATGTACATCAAATATTTCCCCTGGTATGTTTCTAAATTGGTCAGCATGTGCTTGAGGGTTTCAGCAGTGTAGTAAACGTCAAAAACTTACGTCACTTCCGGTCTTCCCTGTTATCAAGCTGACACGCGATATATCTGGAATACTGGTAAACCCACTCTCTCTATGTACATTTTTTATTGAAATACTGTGAATATGTAGTTCTCAGCCAACCCATTCATAGGTAAACCCTCCCCACTTCCCCAGCTGTCGGAACTCAATGGAATGGGTTTCTGGCTTCTTCAGAAAACAACACGAAATCGACAAACGCCTGTGCTGTCAATTTGCCAGCCATGGCCTCTAGACGGCGCTGGTCCGCACTGAGTCAGCACGTGATGCACGTGCAGCTAACGCAGGGTATTAACTGTGAAGGTATTATTGGTGGTAATCTGCTCGTGTTTACTTTCTACAAGCTGTATTTGTATTCTTGTCGGTAAGTGATCACTGAGTAGTCATCAACACGTCACACTTACACCTCCAAACCAACACGACTTGATTCGTTATGCAAGATGTTTGTTTTTGTTTATATTTAGCAACTGTTGATTGCCTTGTCCGCTCTGAACCAGCATCTGACATCTGACGTCGCCGTCTTGCACATTCATCACAGTCGGCTTTGGGTGAAGACTTGCACAGGTTTGTGTAACGTGTATGTTGCTCATGACGCACACGACGTTGTTCATGACGCACGCGACGTTGTATATATACTGTATTACATGAGTCGGGTAGCTTACCTTCGTTCGTATCCAACACACCAGTTGTGAGTATATCCGCAGTTTGGTTTCCAGACTTTGACGAGGCGAGTGAAGGCCTGGACACAGGGCTGCCTCACCTTCACCATTTCCACGTCCTGGTAGGGGCACACGTTAGGCCTGCAATATAAGATAACGAGATGTATATCTGGTAGGGGCACACGTTAGGCCTGCAATATAAGATAACAAGATGTATATCTGGTAGGGGCACACGTTAGGCCTGCAATATAAGATAACGAGATGTATATCTGGTAGGGGCACACGTTAGACCTGCAATATAGCATAACAAGATGTATATCTGGTAGGGGCACACGTTAGGCCTGCAATATAGGATAACAAGATGTATGTCTGGTAGGGGCACACGTCAGGCCTGCAATATAGGGTAACAAGATGTATGTCTGGTAGGGGCACACGTCAGGCCTGCAATATAGGATAACAAGATGTATATCAGGTGGGGGCACACGTTAGACCTGCAATATAGGATAACAAGATGTATATCTGGTAGGGGCACACGTTAGGCCTGCAATATAGGATAACAAGATGTATATCTGGTAGGGGCACACGTCAGGCCTGCAATATAGGATAACAAGATGTATATCTGGTAGGGGCACACGTTAGGCCTGCAATATAGGATAACAAGATGTATATCTGGTAGGGGCACACGTTAGGCCTGCAATATAGGGTAACAAGATGTATATCAGGTGGGGGCACACGTTAGGCCTGCAATATAGGATAACAAGATGTATATCTGGTAGGGGCACACGTTAGGCCTGCAATATAGGATAACAAGATGTATATCAGGTAGGGGCACACATTAGGCCTGCAATATAGGATAACAAGATGTATATTAGGCAGGGGCACACGTTAGGCCTGCAATATAGGATAACAAGATGTATATCTGGTAGGGGCACACGTTAGGCCTGCAATATAGGATAACAAGATGTATATCTGGTAGGGGCACACGTTAGGCCTGCAATATAGGATAACAAGATGTATATCTGGTAGGGGGGGCACACGTTAGGCCTGCAATATAGGATAACAAGATGTATATCTGGTAGGGGCACACGTTAGGCCTGCAATATAGGATAACAAGATGTATATCAGGTAGGGGCACACGTCAGGCCTGCAATATAGGATAACAAGATGTATATCTGGTGGGGGCACAAGTTAGGCCTGCAATATAGGATAACAATATGTATATCAGGTGGGGGCACACGTTAGGCCTGCAATATAGGATAACAAGATGTATATCTGGTAGGGGCACACGTTAGGCCTGCAATATAGGGTAACAAGATGTATGTCTGGTAGGGGCACACGTCAGGCCTGCAATATAGGATAACAAGATGTATATCTGGTGGGGGCACACGTTAGGCCTGCAATATAGGATAACAAGATGTATATCTGGTAGGGGCACGTCAGGCCTGCAATATAACAAGATGATAACAAGATGTATATCTGGTAGGGGCACACGTCAGGCCTGCAATATAGGATAACAAGATGTATATTAGGTAGGGGCACACGTTAGGCCTGCAATATAGCATAACAAGATGTATATCTGGTAGGGGCACACGATAGGCCTGCAATATAGGATAACAAGATGTATATCAGGGGGGGGCACACGTCAGGCCTGCAATATAGGGTAACAAGATGTATGTCTGGTAGGGGCACACGTTAGGCCTGCAATATAGGATAACAAGATGTATATCAGGTAGGGGCACACATTAGGCCTGCAATATAGGATAACAAGATGTATATTAGGTAGGGGCACACGTTAGGCCTGCAATATAGCATAACAAGATGTATATCTGGTAGGGGCACACGATAGGCCTGCAATATAGGATAACAAGATGTATATCAGGGGGGGCACACGTCAGGCCTGCAATATAGGGTAACAAGATGTATGTCTGGTAGGGGCACACGTCAGGCCTGCAATATAGGATAACAAGATGTATATCTGGTAGGGGCACACGTCAGGCCTGCAATATAGGATAACAAGATGTTTATCAGGTGGGGGCACACGTTAGGCCTGCAATATAGGATAACAAGATGTATATCTGGTAGGGGCACACGTCAGGCCTGCAATATAGGATAACAAGATGTATATCTGGTTGGGGCACACGTCAGGCCTGCAATATAGGATAACAAGATGTATATCTGGTGGGGCACACGTCAGGCCTGCAATATAGGGTAACAAGATGTATGTCTGGTAGGGGGTAGGGGCACACGTCAGGCCTGCAATATAGGATAACAAGATGTAGATCTGGTGGTAGGGGCACACGTTAGGCCTGCAATATAGGATAACAAGATGTATATCTGGTGGGGGCACACGTCAGGCCTGCAATATAGGATAACAAGATGTATATCTGGTAGGGGCACACGTTAGGCCTGCAATATAGGATAACAAGATGTATATCTGGTAGGGGCACACGTCAGGCCTGCAATATAGGATAACAAGATGTATATCTGGTAGGGGCACATGTCAGGCCTGCAATATAGGATAACAAGATGTAGATCTGGTAGGGGCACACTTTAAGTTGTCAAGGAAACATACATAGTATATACTAATATGAACACACATGCTAGACACTGTTTCGACCAGACATGACAAATTTTGTCTTACACACAAATGATATACACTGGTATATACACATGATATATACACAAATGTTAAATATTTCATAATTGTCTTTCACTTTGTGTGATTAAATTGGAGTATGAACGTTCAAAGGGACAAACTTTGGGCAAAATCTACACGAACGCTTAGTCTAATTTAGACAGAAACATAGACCTCTGTTAAATTGAAAATGCCCCAGTGTAATGGGAGATTCTGAGCACAATCTGCTTCATTTAGGGCTGTGTATTACAGAGAGGGATGGGCGGAAAGGAAAGTGATATGGTTCAGGGACTGTGAGACACACGAGGCAAGTTCCAACGTTCATACCAAGGCTTTGCTCTAGTAAGGTTCAAACTCCAATGAACTCACACAAAAGAGAATGTCACTTTTTACAATTTTTATGTCCCTAATTTGTACCTCGAAGGCTGCATGCACAATTTCAGTTTGTAAGTGCGTTTTTCCTGTTTACACTCACCGACAATAAAACAACCATTTGTGACGCTGAACGAAATAGTTCTTTAATGATAATGACATGGGCGTATGTATGCTCTGTTTACAGGATCACCTTGATTACAACAGATCTATTTAAAAGACACCACACTCAAATTAGAAACGTCTGCAATGAGCTGCTTCTAAACCAGCCACAGTGGCACAGACAGTGCGTCAAAATGCCTCTCACTTTTCACATTAGTGAGTGAGTGAGTTTTACGCCGCTTTTAGCAATATTCCAGCAATATCACGGCGGGGGACACCAGAAATGGGCTTCACACATTGTGCCCATGGGGGAATCGAACCCGGGTCCTCGGCGTACCGAGCGAATGCTTTAGTTACAAGGCTACCCCATCACCCAATCTGCTGAAGTAGTAATAAGGAGCTACGTAAACAAACGGCAGGGAGAATGCTACCCCGGTCAGCGTATCTGTTCACGTTCACATAGCATTATTGTCTCCCTGTGGAGATTACAACTACCTGTTGGACTGGGAAGTTTAGCGCTCTCTCTACCGCCCCCTTTCACATTAAAATAGTGTTGTTGTGAAAACACATGCCTGTTACATACACACATCATGATACACTTTCCTATATTTGTGTGCGCGTGTGTTTGTACATTGTTCATACTTATATTTAGACTATTTGCAAAAAGGTGGTATTTGTCTGTACTTGTATTTGAAAAGTAGTTTTTAATCCACCCCTACATGTTCGTTAAGGTTACATTATACATCTATCCTGAGCAATAACAATGTGAATAAAATTTCAAACTTACATTGCTCATTTCATCAAATGGATAAGAGATCGGTTCATTTAATGAAATTGGTAATTTCTCGAATTGAGTGTAACATATACACCAGTAACATATACTGTTTTGTAGACGTCGTATACATACTATTGTATGCACAAATGATACATACAGTTGCGTAACGTCACATATACAAGATGTGCTCTGTGGAACCTAGGAGGGCTTAACCGTCCTATATATTCACAACTCCAGTGGGGCTCTCCTCCCCACGATACACATTCAGAGGGAGATCAGGCCCGTTGTTTAATTCAGAATTAATTCATTACAACAGTTTTCAACTCAGTCTAATTAATTAGATTTTGCCGATCAATTAGCTCCGGCCACTTATTTCGCATAGTTGGTCACATGACGACATATATTTCTGTGGCTGTATGAGTTTCAACGCACGACCCACGTCAATGACGTCACAGACCGATCGCACCCCAGGGCCCTGGGGCGGTGTAATTACAGCTGACTGTTGAGTCCCTGATCCCCTGTCGGCGGTTTGAATAATACATGGTCGCTCTGTTCATGGACGGTGCTGTCATACTCTCTCTATATTGGTCACACTTTTTATTAGTTTCTTCAGGTTTAGAAACATAAAAGCGCTTGTATCTTTCTTCATAAAAACTGAACTGCGGCGGATGACAGACAGGTGCCCCTCCTACCATACAACATACACCGTCTCTGTTTCCGCACAATATCCCCCTCCATACGCCATCTCTCTTTCAATACACAATCTCTCTTTCCGTACAGGGGCGGTGGGGTAGCCTAGTGGCTAAAGCGTTCGATTAGTTCGACCTTAGTTCGATTCCCCACATGGGTACAATGTGTGAAGCCCATTTCAGGTGGCCTCCGCCGTGATATTGCTGGAATATTGCTAAAAGCGGCGTAAACTCGACTCACTCACTTTCCGTACACCATCACTCTTCCCATACACCGACCCTCTTTCCACACAACGCCTCTGTTTCAATACAACGTTCAACCTCACGTTTGCGTAGATCGAACTAGTAAGTTCACAACTCCCGGCAGAATTATCACCACATCTGATCAAGGATGAAGACCGAAATGGACCAGCTCAGATTGGCCTAAAAATGGTATTTTCTTTTATAGATTGTATTTTGCATATCCAACTCTCATAAACGCTCCGCTGGTGTGGAATTCTCTACGACCACAATATATGCACACAGAATTCCTGGAACTGTACCGTGGTGGAATTCCATTCTCATATAG